CCTCGCCACTTAGGACGTCTACACCTGCCACACCAAAAATGCCTTATAATGTACCTTAGGGGGGACCAAGTAGTCATCAAACCTCCCCCCGACCATGTGTTGTATACTTTCTTGCAATCAAAGCTTTCTTGCATCCAATGTCTACAATGCTTGTTTTAAAGATGTTTTCAACTGTTTTTCTCTCTCACGTTTTCTAAAACCAATTTTCTCCTAAAACGTGAGCGGAAGCTAGACCCACGACCGAGATTGTCCGCAACTTACAGTTTTTCCCGGCTGACTTGCTCGTTTGAGCTAGAGCAAGTGCCGCACAATCGCTCGAGCTGCTTTAAAAAGGTGCGATTGTGACACAGGGCATGTTGTGCATTCTCCCAGCGGAGTTTTGCTACTGTCACCATTTGATCCATGTATTTGTATGGCTTGGTAAGTACGTTAGTTTCCTGTGACAACGTCAACCAATGCAATAAATGGCACAGTAGTCTTATAGAAGTAAATTATTTGACCTTATCTCATGTTCATACCTGAAAAAACTGAAGAGCCTGAGGCACTGCATAATTTTTAACTTTGTAGTACATATCAACTGTTTTTGTAGAAAAACCTTGAACATGGGGTTTCAAGTAGGTTGTAAATACCAAGCATTGTTCTATCAAATTTGGAATCCATTCCTTCACGTGATTAAATAGATCAACAATTAGGAAAGTAAACAAAGTAGTATAAGCTCATATTTATAACAAAACAAAAATTTTAACATAAAATTTAAAAAATAAACAATAAAAAAAATTTATGCAATGTGATTTTCCAAGCGACGTTTTGCTACTGTCACCATTTGATCCATGTATGACTTGGTAAATACTTTAGTTTCCTGTGACAACGTCAACCAATGCCATAAATGGCACAGTAGTCTTACAAAAGCAAATTATTTGACCTTATCCCATTTCATACCTGAAAAAACTGAAGTGTCTGGGGCACCGCATAATTCTTAACTTTGTAGTACATATCAACTGTTTTAGTAGCACAACTTCGAACATGGGGTTTGACAAAGGTTGTAACTACCGTGCGTTGTTCTGGCAAATTTCGAATACATTCCTTCATGTGATTAAACAGATCAACCATTAGAAAGGTAACCAAAGTAGCACAAGCTCATATTTATAACAAAACAAAAACTTCAACATAAAATTTTAAAAATAAACAATAAAAAAAACTTTATGCAATGTGATTCTCCAAGTGGAGTTTTACTATTGTCACACTTTGATCCATGTATGGCGTGGTAAATACTTTAGTTTCCTGTGAAACAGTCGATCAATGCCAAAAAATGGCACATTAATCTTACAGAAGCAAGCAAATTATTTGACCTTATCTCATGTTCATACCTGAAAAAACTGAAGAGCCTGGGCCAGTGCATAATTCTTAGCTATGTAGTACATATCAACTGTTTTAGTAGCCCAACATCGAACATGAGATTTGACATAGGTTGTAAATACCAAGCATTCTTCTATCAAATTTGGAATCCATTCCTTCATGTGATTAAACAGATCGATAATTAGAAAAGTAACCAAAGTAGTATAAGCTCATATTTATAATAAAACATAAAATTTTAAAAATAAACAAGAAAAAAACTTTATGCAATGTGATTCTCCCAGCAGAGTTTTGCTATGTCACCATTTGATCCATGTATGGCTTGGTAAATACTTTAGTTTCACAGGCACAACAGTCTTACAATCTTACAGAAGCAAATTATTTGACCTTATCTCATGTTCATACCTGAAAAAACTGAAGAGCCAGGGGTACACCATAATTCTTAACTTCGTAGTACATATCAACTGTTTTAGTAGCCCAACATCGAACATGGGATTTGACATAGGTTGTAAATACCAAACATTGTTCTATCAAATTTGGAATCCGTTCCTTCATGTGATTAAACAGATCAACAATTAGAAAAGTAACTAAAGTAGTACAAGCTCATTTTTATAACAAAAAAAAAGTTTAACATAAAATTTAAAAAATAAAATTTATGCAATGTGATAATAGCCATCAAAATGAGAGACCTAACAACAATGCCTGATTATTGAAAAACTCAGATGTAAAAAGTGTTAGCTGCAACTTAGGATAGAAATACATTTGGTGGAATTATCTTAAAGTCAAAAGGTTAAATGAATTTGGATTGCTCCGTTCGAGCATGAGTAGTAACACTAAATATGACAGGAATTTCAATCACTCGACAAGTTAAATGCAGATACACGCCATCAGTAAAATGGGTCAATAACCTTAAGTCAAACCTGCATATCTAATATAAATGCAGAAAAGAAGTAATTGAATAGCATTGTTCGGTTTAATCATTTCAAACTCAAGGGTAGCACAATTTTGGATTGTGGATTGCTTCATATTGGAAGACATATGATATACGCAATTTAGGAATTCTGGAACAACTCTAATGTCATTAGAACTCGGTTGCTTCAACATTAAAAGGCATCAGCAATTATTGAACCTAAATTGTCAAATCCAAAGTATTGAACAGATGATATAAAGGGGATGTAGAATATGTATCTCACATAAGTCACAATTAATGAATTCGTTTTTTTTTTTTAATTTAATGAAAAGGGAATAACTCACAGTTACAATAACTTCAACTTGGATCTTAAGCCACTGCTGTACTTGAGCTTTCCTTTTCAGTAGCTGAGATAAGAAAACCAGACAGCAAGACTGATACTAATCCCACAAGCAAGAGATTGGAGGCTTCAACTTCAGATTATTAATCAAAGTTATACAAGTTGTAAAAACATATGAGCTAAACCCACAAGCAAGAGATTGGAGAAATCTGTTGACTATGTTTAGGATCTCATTAGATTTAATACTTCTTAATGGGGCTCTGTTTCTAAGGCCTTTTATATTTATCCGTTAGGTCTCATTCTTTTGGATTGGAGTCCATTTCTGTAAGGGACTCCTCTCTGGGCTGTTCTTTGTAAGCCCCTTTTTGTTTCTCTTGTATCTCTTTTCATTTTTCTCAATGAAAGTGTCTCTTCTTATCAAAGAAAAAAAACATATGAGCTAAACCAAACCTCAAAAAATGCTTTATTTGCCACTGGTCTTCCACTTTCATGCCAAAAAGTCTGCAAAAAGGAGAGAATCGACAAATTTGGCTGTCGCCCTATTATGCTAAGATTAGCGAACTTACCAAATTACCTGAAGATGATTTAATAGAACAGCAAAGCAAGAACGACAACTTCCATAGACCTGATTGTAAGTCAACATAAAATACTACGTTAAACACGACACTATCTACCATTGAAATCTGAAGCAATAATGATTTATTGTGAACCAAGTCAAAAAGTTAGGAAGCTAAAGTAGACATGTTACCAATAAGTTTTAATATTTGCCTAGACTACAAAAAAAATCTATTCTTTGAACATTAGATGGACTGGAACTGCTTGATTGCTTTTATTAAACTACCATACAGAAGAAGAGTATAGCCATGAGAAACCATGCATTGGAACAACTGTAAGTTCATACATAAAGTTGTCAAAAGAACAAACACAGAGATGGAAAAAGAAAAGATATGATGCCACTTGGGGGAAACTACTGAGAAAGATGCTCCCTCGTAGGTGGAATTCCAAAGTATCTGCATACATATTTTCTCTGATTTTTCTCTATAATTTCCTTTCTAAGTTTAGCAAACCTATCAACAATATTATCAGAATAATGTAAGGACTTGCAGTAGAAAATAACCTGCTTCTCAAGTTCATCTGTCCGTGTATGTGTATATTCCTTACTCGTATGCTCCTTGCTGTCTGATGGTCCTTTTTGCTATCAAGAAAAATTAATTTGACAGGAGTCGAAATCTTAGATAACAGCAAACAAAAAGTTAACAATATTAAGTCAAAGAAGCCACACATCAGAAAAATTCTTGAGAACGATAACAATATTCAGTAATTCATTAAACACCGCAACGTCCAATGAAGGAAAAATACACTTAAGAGTTCCGACAAGAAAGCCATGGTGCTATGTCACGTAATGATCGAGCACAAATGAACGAGCATTTTTTTTTAACAAGATAAAGAGACCTCACCCGAAGAAATGCAATTTCACTCTCTAACGTTACAACCTTGTTTGATTTCTCTCGAATGATTTTTTCCAACTGTAAAATGATTTGATCTTTCTTTCTCAATTCATAGTCTCTCTCGTCAATCTTTGATTCTTCAAAAAGAACATAAGAACAACGAAAATCAGAGAAATGGAACTCACATCAAGGAATCGAACAGAACAGAAATTAAATATAATGTTTCGCTGACACCTAATAGTCAGATGTTTTTCCAAGTTGAACAGTCAAATGTAGACGATCATTATCCCGAAAGTGAAAAGAGAAAGCGCATTCCATAATTAACAGTTAGCTGAATTTTGAAACCGAATCAAAAGAGTTTCCTCTTCCTCTCCCACAGTTCCTAGAATCACTAAAACAAATATGAAACGAAGAGGAAGCAATGACGTAAAACCGACCAAGAAACGAGATTTTAGACTTCAGCTGCTCAAGCTCCGAAGGGAAATGTAACGCCTCGAATTCCTGAAGCGAAGGATCTGCAGCAACTGAGGTTGAAATCAGAATCCAGAAGAAAATAGAGAACCCTAACCCTAGGAACGGCTCCGCCATTGTAGAGACCATGACCACAGAGCCGTCGGACGAGAATGGCGGGGGCTGGGCGGGAGGAGTCGTTTTGTTTTGAGTCCCACTATTTCAGTTGGCGAGCGAGGGTAACATCAGTTTGCTCCGCAGTTTTTTAATTTGAACAACTTTTAGGCCAAAAGTATAATTAGTGTTGAAATTGAAAAGTTTTAATTCATTTAAAATAAAATTATCAATTATAGTGATCTATTAGTTTAAACTTTCAAGTCTTTATATTAAAATTAGATTTTATAGGTTCAAATTTGTTCATGCTTTTTGTTTGAAAAAAAAAACAAAAAGAAAAACATCCAGGTTATTATCAATATGAATATAGTTGTAAATGAGTAGAAAGTTTAAGGGAAAAATCGGATAAATAGACTTTCTACGCCATGAATATTGTTTTTTAGCAATCTTTTTCAAAACCTATCTTTTCTAAGTATTTGCTTACATTATTTAGATATCAAATTACTTCACTGCCTCTCCACTAATATTTTCTAAACTCAACCCATGTTTTAGAGCGAGAGGGAGAGATAGAGAGAAGAGAGGAGAGAGCGAGAGCGAGAAAGAGATAGGAGAGAGCGAGAGAGCGAGAGGAGAGGGGTAAGGAGAGTCATTTGGTATACAAGATGACGTTTTTCCAACACAAATCTTAAAATTTTCTGTATACACTCAGATTTTGAATCTAGCAACGAACAGTCAAAACTGAAGATTATCAATCGTCATTCAATAGTTATACATTCTAAGAAATTGAGGGTACATTTGATTGGTGACATGAAAAAAAAATTAAAAATAAGGGATTTAATGAAAACAAAATTATTTTTAGTCTTTTTAGCTATGTATTTGGTAACAGATTTGGAAATTGCAGCCAGTAGTATATTTGTAAACTAACTAAATATTTATTTATATCTAAAATAATATTAATTAATTAATTAAATATATATTATAAATTTTGTAGAATTATTATTTTACAATATTATATATTTTATAATATATTATTTATAACATGATATAATATATTTATAAAAGTTTTTATTTTCCTCGATGTAATTTTGCATTTCAAAGTTACAAATTCAAAATCTAAAAATATAATAAAGAAACATAAAAAGTGTTGTTTTTAAAATTTCTACTCTTTCGATCCTAGAAAATTCGAAAATAATTTTCGAAAACAAATCTATCAAAAGAGTATTCATTTAATTCATTTGATTCAGTGAATCTAAACACAAGAAACATACCAAACAGGTTTAAATGTTGGATAGAAAAAAAGAGTCAAAAAGAGCAAAGATGGGCCAAGGATGACTTCCCAAACATATTGGAAGAAGATGCAAAATGAGAACTAATTTGCACCCAATTTGGACAAATTATGTAGGCAAGTCATTCTTGGCTCATACTTACTCTCCAACTCATTAGGAGAAGAACTCTCTGAAATTCCAATTTTCTTCTTTACTTTGCATTTTTCATATGAACAGATAAAGCTTTCTCCTCTGCTTTATTTATAGGCAGTTGAAGGAGAGAGTATTGTTCATCATTCCTACATCCACAGCATCTCAATCTCATTATATTCCTCATTATCTTATCTGATATTGGAGCTTGTACAAAGATGCACCACCAATATGTCGAGTACCGATGAATAAACTACAACAATTTGTCATATTTTGTCAATCCGAACGTAGTTCAAATGGATAAGGTACTTTCATACTGTCCTAGAAGTCAATGGTTCAATCCCTACTTCTACAATCTGTCATATTTTTTTCGAGAAACTGGGGCATTACATATATAATTGGGGCATTACATATATAATTGGTAAAATCCCTTATATTAAAATTTATATTATAATGAATTATTTTTTATTTTTTTAATACAATAAATGTGAGAATGAGAAAATAAACTTCATATCTCTAGAAAAAAAGTAAGATGTCTTAACCGCTAAATTTTTTTATCAAGTTGGCTATTATAAAGATTTATTTATTTATTTATTATTGTGTTGGTATCTTTGATGCATGGATGGGTGAAAGTAGAATTTGTTCTTGGCATTTTTGGTTCCGGAGATAAAGAGATTCATTAGAGTTATGGGCTTATGGCCAAGTGTAGTACTACTCTTTTCTTCTCCTAATGTTCTATAGTGTTTCATGTGTTTAATTAAATATTAGGTTAAAATCCTACTTTATCTATTTTAACTTTCATTTATTTAAATCATCGTGTTTTCAAAACGTTTATTATTGTCTATGTACTTTTAATTTTCGCTTATTTTAGTCCTGTATTTTTAAAATTCTTTAATCTCTCGCATCTTTCTTTTGATCTCGTTAAATTTTAAAAAGAAAAAAGTTATCATCAAAATTTGCTAGCTTCACTAATAAAGTGCCCGTAAGTTGAGTCATTCACAATTTTTGTTTATGAAACTCGTGCGACATAACTAATTAAGCTCATATATTTCGACGATCAATTAAAAGATTCGATACGTAAAGAAAGTAAAGAATTTGAATTCTATTAGGATAAGAGGAATAAACACACGTGCACTTTTTGCATAATTAACTTTTATTTACAACTTGGGGCATGGCTAATTTTGACTCCAAGAGGTAGGGGAAGGGAGGGTGGAAGCCATGAGAGTCTCTCACGAGAATAAGAATTATTGGGTTGACATTTGTGATTGAGACCAACCCTACATCAAAGAGGATCCTCCAACAAGAAAATCAATCAAGTTATTTAAAACAAAAATAATAATTAATTTTCTTTTAGTAAACATGTGTGGACGTGGGGTGGAGATCGAACTCACAACCTCTTAGTTTGAGTTGTATATCAATTACCGCTGAACTATGCTCACTTTAATAACATAATAATTAAATCTTAATATTAAAAATTTCATCTTAAAACATATTATGAAACCATACACTAAATGAAAAGATCATACCTCTTACAATCGAAACTCAGACATGATATAATTATATACTCGTTCATATTGCTTGGCTTCAACAAATTTTCTAATAACGAAGATTTGACTATTATATATATACTTTTAGGTTTAAATAATCTTTTGATCATCTACTTTTAGTTTTGGTTTATTTTAACATTTGTACTCTCAAAATGATTTTGATTCTTATACTTTTCACTTTAGTTCCTACAATTTCAAAACGTTTGTTTTAGTCCTTATATTTTTTAAAAGTGATCATTTTTGTTCATATTTGAAGAATTTTAACACAAATTTATACTCGATCGGAACTTTTTAACATAAATTTATAACTATATTTTAAGAAATATGGTGAATGAAATATCACGCTAAAATTTTGATGGATAATAATGAAGAGATAATGAAAATGAAAATGAATGGATAGAATGGACGTTGACTAAAATAAACGAAACCATAAAAATCAAAATAGATGTCTTAAAAGTATAAGGATCAAAACAAACCAAAGTCAGAAGTAGAATATAAAAGAGTTTTTAAACTATTTTCTAGTATATATATTTTACATATAGGAGAAAGCCTCTTTAATCTTTTCAATTTTTTCTCAACCATTTTTTTTTTGCTGGTAAGGTGGTAGGGGAATTAGGAGTCAGTAAGTTTTGACTTTGAGATTTCAGTGATTTGGACCAAACATAATGAATAATGAATCATTAAATCATGCAAACTAAAAGAATCACATATTTATTTTTGAAAAATAAAAAATCACTATCAAATATGTTCCTCAGTTCTTTTACATTCAATTTTTGAAAAGGGTGCTTTTATTAATATTATCTAACATTTAAATAGGGTGGGATTGATTAGTAATTAGGTACTAGCCTTCAATTAGTTTTCTTAATCTCACAGACCTAATAGTGGAGATAAAAAGTTAAAGGTTTTCCACACACACATATATGGCTGAGATGATAATTTTTTCATTTTTAAAAGAATGAAAATGATTCATCAGCATTTTAAATAGCGTTTAAATATCTGATAGGTTAAATTATTAGTTCATTTAACCCCATTTGATAACCATGTTAAAAATATAAAACTAAGAATAAAATGATTATCAAATAGAACCTTATTGTCAAGTAGCATTCAAAGTTGATAGACTATTATAACCCTATAGGTTACATGCATGTTTATTAGTTTATATCATCTTAAATTAGTTAGTGAATATCAACCTTGAGCTTAATTCACATGGTTAAGATGCTTATTTTCGATCAAAAAATCATGAGTTCGAATTTTCATTTCAAATATGCTATTTAAACAAAAGGGAAAGAAGAATGTAATTTAATTAACTAATGGTCGTCAAAACGAGCATAACTCAACAATAATTGACATATATCTCCAACCAAGGATTATGAGTTCAATCCTCCACTCCCACGTAGTACTCAAAAAAATAAATAAATAAACTAATAGTCAACTTAACTCAATGGCCGATTATAAACTAAATTAACTCCAGACCAATAAAAAACTAAATTCAAACTTCAAAATCCAACTAAAAGTAATGATTTTTTAAACTCTAGGGAGCAAAAATATATTTCATCCAATTAAATATTTTCTACTCTATAAAACCAATGGACGCCTCACCTTTGAGAGGTCATAAATTCTTAGTCATAGACCGGTGTTAATTACGGGCAACTTAAGCTTTAGCTCATATTGGCCCGAACCTTCGAGAGAAGAATCTTATCCACGAGGAACAAATTCGGCTATCGACGTTGAGAAAGGAAGAAAACCTGCAAAGGCCATGGGATTCCCAATTCCCATCATAATGCAAATTGGAAGCCCGAAATGGGGGAATTTCCCATCATCTTGCATTCGAATAATCTCAATTATTCTGCGAAATTACCTCAATCGCGCCACCATCCAAACAGGGAGATTCTCATACATGTACTCAACCGATGGATAGGTCACTGGATTTCACCCATCGCCACTTCAAGCTTGTCTTCTACGACTTAAAGAAAATACCATATATCCACTTTTCATGAGAAGGTCTAATAGAACATTCAAGCTTGTCTTCTTGAGCTTCATCTGATATACGTTCTGTGGTTTGTTAAAAATGATAGATAGTGATACATTTCATCACATAAATTGGATATGAACAATCAATTGCATCATGTTTGTACTCTAGTATTGATGCTTTATCTAATGCCATTGTTATTTACCACTGCCTGCTTCTAAACACAATCACTCTCATATCATCAGAAAACATAGTTACAAGTTTACCATAAATCATCAAAACCAGCTACCTACAATCTATTCTATAATAATTTCTTTTAGGCCTCCTCGGAGTGTCGTCCCGATATCACTGTGCCTCCTACAGCGCCTCCTACAGCACTCCTTCGTGTAGCTCTTACAACATCCACCCATTCCTCTCTTCTCCAAACTTGGACAACATTGCTTAAGTTTTAGTTCTGAGCATTCTACTTTGCAGCTTTTACAACTGTCACCTGTTTCTCTCTTTTCCAAAGGCTTACAAGTATTGGCAGGTTTCGAGTGCAAGTGATCTGCTTCGAGCTCGACTATGGTAGTGTTGATTGACCCACTGCTATCTCCATTCCATGCCTCCGAATCAGGATGAGCCCCCTCATGACCATCTCTATTTGACGTTCCATTCTTTTCGAAGAAATGAGTGTTGCAATGATGTTTAATTTCAAGGTGTCCTTTCGCTTTAGCACAACCATCTATCATTGCAACCCTTTTGTTGCATTCATCTTTCGTGCAATTCTTCTTGATCTTCTGGTCTTGGAGGAGTTCCAGACTGCCTGAAGACCCGTCTTGCCGCGCAGTTGAGTCCGCACATTTGGTTTTTCCACATGGATTCGAAATGTAGGTTTTAGAATGACACTTTGAATGAGGCAGAGAAACCTTCTGAGTGTTCTTATGAGAGCAACAACCATCATCGATATGATGATCAAGATTGGACATGTGGCTGTTCTCCGAATTACATTTAGGAATTTGGATTTCATGATTGTGTTGAGCAGCCCGGCTATTATGAGTACAACATCCACTTTCATGGTTCTCAATACTGCCTGCAGATCCATCAAGGCTGGAGGGTGAGTTTGTGCACTCGGTTTTCTCACATTTACTTGACTGACAATTTGAAGCACAATCCCAAGACGAGCAAAACTCTTGTGTATTCTCTGGGGAGCAATGTGTGTCCTCAATATGATGATCAGTGCATGACGAATGGGTGTGATGGTCATGTTGAGCCGATTGGTTGTGGACGCAGTGTTCATGTTCATAGGGTCTTACACTGCCTGCAGAATCATCTAGCTTAGAACTTGAGTCCACAAGTTTACTTTTCTTGCATGAACTTGAATTTGTCTTCCCGGAATCACACGTGGAAGCACAGTTCTGAGGTAAGCAACCATCATGAGTTTTTTTGTGAGAGTTGTGGTCCTCGTGCACATGATGATGATGATGATGAGAGTGGGAATTTTCATGGTTGCACCCGAGATCCCGGCTGTGATTACCATGTTGATCTGAATGACTACTAACATGACAGCATTCATGTTTTGAGGAACAGTGAGTAGCAGAAAACTTGCCAGCTTTTTTCCCTTTGCGTTCACTGGTTCCTCGCAGCAGGAGCATACTGTTGAGGATAACCAACACACATGCTCCAACATCAGCAAGAACTGCTGCCCAAACAAGTGGATGACCAGCAAACGCCAGGCCGAGTATAGCAGTTCTAGGAATGACCGAAAGAATCACATTTTCGATCACTTTCATATTAGCTTTTCTTGCAAGTCGAATGGCTTTTGGAATTTTCCTGATGTCATTAGACATTAGGATTACATCTCCAGTTTCTATTGCAAGGGCTGAACCTGAGATTCCCATCGATATGCCGATATCAGCTGTGGCCAAGGCAGGAGCGTCATTTAAACCATCTCCAATCATGGCTGTCGGTCCCTCCCTTTTGAAGTCATTGATGAGTCTTGTTTTGTCTTCAGGTAGAAGCTCTGCATGAACTGTCTCTAAAGCCTTTCCCAACTGCACATAGGATCAGTGAAACAATTATATTCCACAATCTGATAACTGATTTCAGCCTTTTCAGTGTGGTATCAAGGGCCATTTCTTGTTCTGAACAAATTTCCATCCATGTTTGGATTTTAAACTAGTAAATGCTAAAGGATTGAGCAGAATGATGATTCAAAATAACCACTAAACAGTACAGCTCAAGTAGGACTGCCTAATAATGATCATGAACCCAGTGCTTTCAAAGCATAAAAGTAAACAAACTGATAGGTTCAGCTAAAATTTCTTGAGTGACTAAAAGCAGGGGATAGAATGATTACTTCCTTCTGTGCTTGCAAGGCTGCTGCAGAACTGTCTCCGGTGAGCATAGCCGTTTTTATACCGAGAGACCGGAGCTCTTCCATGGCCTCCTTAGCTCCTGTTCGGCACGAATCGGATAAACTAAACATTCCAGCTGCCGTAGTTCCACAGAATATATATCCAACAGTCCTTCCATCCTTGGCATCATCTTTGATCTCTGGGACTGAAAATATTGACACCGACCAGTTATGATGATAAAGAAAACTGTGCTCGTTCGTTCTCCACCGAAACAGAAAACCAAAAAAAGCTTCTTATGTTATTTATGAAGCACATGATTAAATGAGGAATTCCAACCTGTTGGGCAGTTGGCTCTTATAGCAATTTTTCGATTTCCGATATAGATATCTTTCCCATCAATTCTCCCATGAACACCTTCTCCAGGAAAGTTTTGAAAGTCATCCACATTTTCAGGTTTGGGGTCAATGGATAGTGATCTTCCATGGTCAACAAGGGCAGCTGCCATTGGATGACTAGACTTGCTCTCAATGCTTGACACCCTTGGGAGTGGAGAATGCAAAGGTTGACACAAAAAGTCGCTAGCTTAGACATAACCCATAACTACAAACTCAACATAATAAAATGATTTCGCTCCAATCTTCAACAGGACTGGATGAAAAACCATTAGTTTTGCACTTACCAGTAAAGCAATGTGTTTAAGCTTATATCGTCCTCATCAAGAGCTTGAAATTCAGTCACCACAAATTCACCTCTTGTAATTGTTCCAGTTTTGTCAAATGCCATGACCTTAATTTTGGCCAGAGTTTCGAGGTAGTCACCCCCTTTGATTAGAAGACCAGAGGTTGCTGCCTTTGTAAGTGCACAGAATGAGGCAACAGGCGTGGAAAGGATGAGTGCACAGGGGCATGCGCTTACTAACACAACCAGGGCCAAGTGAAACCAATGGCTGCGATTGGGAAGTCTTAGAGCAGCTGGAATCACCGCTATGCAAGTTGATATGATTATAACACCTGTGCATATTATAACAATTGGTTCAATATCAAAAGTTGCAAAGTGGTTTCACCTAAAGTTAAATATTCAAGATAATGTCTAACAAAAAATAAAAATCAAGATGATGCGTTAACCTAATAAGTTAGAGCATATTTGCTCTTTTTATATGTATTCTTGACACATATCGCTTTTGGGCTTGTAAATTAACACAAGATTCAATTAGCGACTATTGGAGAAGAAATGGCATTGCAAGAATGAGATTCTAATAACCGCTAAACTCAGAAACTTAAGTAGATAGGTTAAAATAGATTAATTTTCTTTATATGCATTCTTAACCCAACATAAAAGGATAAGATCCTTTTTTTTTCTCTTTCTTTTACATTCATGAATGTCCAAGCTAGCTTTTGCACATCTCGATTAATCTCATGAGATAACTATCTGATAGAGCCCAAGGATAATTAGGGATATTATTAGGGCATTGAGGGTACCTTAGTAATTAGATAAGGAAGTTGGTAGGAAGAGTTGTTATAAATAGAATGGGGTGTAAGAAGGAAGGTATCCAATTAGTGAGGATGGTTTTGGCTTGAGTTAGAATACTCAAGAGAGGGAAGGGAACAAGTACCTCAAATTACTTGGTAGTTATCGTAGTTCTTATATCTTGTTACATTTCTTGCTCGGGTTCTATCACTATCTAACCCTACAAAAATTTGTATGAACTTATAGGATTTTAAATTCTAAGTAGGTGATGGTAAGATCCAATTGATGGAGGATTGCTTGTAAATGCTAGTGTCACGAGATTACTTGTCTTTTTCCCTCCACAAGTTAGCTTATGGATTTCTTTATAAGCAAAAGATCAAGTGAATGAAAGAACAATGAATTTACTGGCTCTCACAGGATAGTATTCAAATAGTTGGTGGGCACACCTGGAGTATAGAATTTGGCGCATTTGTCAATAAACCTTTGCGTTCTAGATTTGTTGTTCTGTGCCTCTTCAACCAGCTTAGCCATTTTAGCCACCACACAATCCTCAGCAAGAGCAGTAGTCTTCACAGTAACATAGCCTGAAAAGAACCCACAATCAATAACTTCCCAAATCTTTCAGAAGCCGAAAAGAGAGTTCTTCTGAGACAGAGATAGAGATAGAGATTACCATTTAGATTAATGGTACCAGCCCAAACAGTGGAACTCTTTTGTTTGGGAACTGGGAAAGATTCACCTGTAAGTGTTTTCTCATCCACTTCACAGTTCCCTTCCTCAACAATTCCATCGATGGGAATGTCTTCACCGGGTTTCACCGCCAGCAGAGTCCCCAATTTGACCTCGTCGGCGGCCACAACTTCGCCGGAGTCGGCCAGGACCGCTTTCTGAGGGGCAATGCTTAGAAGGGACGACATGACGGCGTTGGCCTGAGCACATTTTTCCAGGTTCCATGATTTAGTTAGGACAGATTTCAATAGAGTTCGAAAGTTTAAACAACTTGAAAAGTGATTAACGAGTATTCTTGTGGTGGGTACGGTTTTGTGTATATATATATAGAGAGAGAGAGAGAGACCTTGTGGCTGGCCCTGGACTCGAGCCATTCGGCGATTGTGAAGAGGAAAACGACGGTGGCAGCTTCCAAATAATCCTTCATCACAATCGTCCCTATCACTGTCATAATTTAAACTTCATTTTAATTTTTTTATATTTGAAATTGAAAAATTATATTACATTTATCTGTTTTTTTAGTACTGATATTGGAGTTATCTTCGCATTGGTATATATTTCTACTTTTTCCTTTTTATTTTAGATGAGATAGGATGAGTATCCAATCATCGCAATAATAACTACTTCATCTATTCAATAATATTTCGATTGATATAATTTTTATTTGGTTGGTGCAGTAAGTCAACAATTCATGGATTGTAATATGTGAATTCATAAGTAGAAATTTTTTAAGGTTGAATTAAAATTTTGGTTCTTTAATTTAGAATATTGTGACTAATAAATCTAATTTAAAGGTATTATCATATTTCAATAATAAACCATGTTTAAATCTTTTGGTACTCAATAAACTTTTTTTAATTAAAAAATTAAAAAGAGAGATAAACGATTTATTTTAGTATAGAGGATCAAATCTTTTAACCTTTAGAGAAATGGTCGGCAAAAAAGATAGAATTTAAGATACAGTATCTTAAATAATTTTTCAAATCAAATTTCTTTATACCAAGAAAAATTGCCACATGGTTCTTAGTGGGTGGGTCGTCGTATATAAGGTAGGTAAAGCATGCAAGTATTGTGGCCTAGCAGCAATATTAGGCGTTGCTACGACGTCGTTTCGCACTTATTAAAAATGTTTTTAATAATTATGATCAAATAATTTATACTGTAAATGTCATTATGGAATTATAATTAACCAAATTAGACTAAAAATAAAAGATTAAAAATGCAATTTAACGGAAAATAATTTTGTGAATGACAAATAATTGAAACTGAAGGGGAATATGAAAGAAAGACACAAGATTAGAGGAAATTAAAAATGACCTGCAATTAAAGCAAGAATGTTGATGTCGAGTCTGAGATTGCGAACGGCGGCGAAGCTTTTGAGAGCAATCGGCCAAATTCCGGCGGCGACGGCGGCGAGAGCCAGCCACTGGAAGATAGGGTTCACATATTTGAGAAACGACAGCAGTAGCAGTAGGCCACTCGCCACCGCGTACGGGCTCGGCCATTTTTTCCGGTGATCTTTCTGATCTCCGTACGCTCTAACGTTCGCTTCCAATCTCGCTTGGTTTAGGGCTTTAACTGTCACATTTCCCAAAACAGAATAATTTTTAAAAAGTGTTCAATAGAAAAAAAGAATACTAATGTTTCTTTTAATGAGCTTTAACAAAAGTTACTAAGAAAAGAGCTTTAATAAAAGTATTGAAAATTCAAAATAAAAAAATATATATTGAAAATTCATCAAAAATAAAAAGAATTACAAACCTAACAATTAGTTAGTTAGTTAGTTTTTTTGGTTGAAGGTTGAATTTCTCTCCCTCACATTTGTTTTTTCTTAATTTTTAATAACAGTGACTAAATTAGAAAAGCAAAATAGTCTACCAATCTGGCCAACTGAAATGAAAAAAACAAAATATTACATTTCCACGTCATCAATCACTACCAACATAATATATGAGGATGGGCCCTACCACATTGATTTTACACGTCATCTTGATTAATTTGGATTCCACCTCATCCCTTCTCCCCCAACCAACCAATTCCCATATAAAACAATTGGCAACAATTTGGTCACAAGTTTGGTAGTTTGTTAACCATTTTCAGTACTTCCGATGCGATTTATGATTACTATAAATCAAATCTATTCTAAATTATTAATGCTCTTCAAAGAATTAACTCTATCAACCATTCTAATAAATTTGTTTTCGATTGTCAAAATAAATAAAATGGAAGAAGACAAGAAGATTCTTTTGACACAATTTTTTTAACTCTGAGAAAATTATAAAAATAACACAAAAGATAATACGAGTAAAAAGGATCAATTTCTCGCCTAATTTATTTTAGTACAACAAGTAGGKTAAGATAATTCAAACTCATGATCTTATAGCGAGAGACAGGTGTCAATTATCGCTTAATTGAGGTCTGTTGACTAATTTCTTATTTTATTAAAACTCACCCTTTGTCACTATAATTATAAATACATATTCATTTAATGTAATTTTCGTTTTAATTTTTATTGGTATTAAAAATGATAATAAATGTCTTATTCCCTTTTAACCCAAAATAAAAAATTTAGGAAACGAGAGATTAGAGGAGAAAGATAATACCAATTTGAGTCTGGGAAACAAGGTTGTCATGAACAACAATGACGGTTCTAGTAGCCACAATAACTGTAACCTCTCGAACGCCTTCAATGGCCTTCAAAATATTCTCCACCACAGGAATTTCCGATGAGCAACAAATCCCCAGCACGTCAAAGTAGCTTCTCTGCAGCCCCGCCGCCGCCGCCATATCACCTCCTCCACTCAATATTCAAACCCCTGAAAACCAAACCATTCGAATATTCATCAAATCCAAAACCCTACAAGAAAAACAAAAAAAAAATTTGAAAACTCATATTATATACAGAATAAAATCGCACAAAGCGCCCCACGGCAGGGGTTTCGTGTGGAAGTAAAAAATAAGTTAGATAAAGGATGAAGATTCTGGTGGGGGGTGTGTTTCAAATTCTCTATTCTAATAGTTTTTTGTGCCTAAAATGGCTTTTGTGTGTGTCTAAAATGGTTGCGTTTTTTTAGAGAGAGAGAGAGAGAGAGTGAACTAACAGAAGAGAGAGAGAGATGAAGAATAAGCTACTGAGAAGCAGAAGAAGGCGTTTCATGTGGAAGGGGTAAGGCCATTTGGGAGAAGCTTAAATTAATGAAGGATTTAAGCTTGTGGGATGGCTTTTTATAAAGGGAGAGAGAGAGTTGTGGAAATGGAACTTTGGAAAGAAGGTTAAAAGGAATTGGGAATTTCTGCTCCCGAGACCAAACGGGTTCGATTGGATTGGAGAATAATATTTTTTTAATTACAATAAGTGAGAGAGAGTGAGTGGATTTGATTTCACAACTTTTTGATTATATTAGCTAAGTTCATGTTGTAAATAGTATTATTTTATCTATTTGAGTTAAATTAATTAATTACAAAAATACCGACATAAGTTTAGCTCAATGGTAATTGACACATGACTCCGACCAAAATATCGTGAGATTGAGTTTAGTTCAACAGTAATTGACACATGACTCCGACCAAAATATGATGAGATTGAATCCAAAAAAGGAAAATTTAATTATGAAAATTTTGGTCCCATTTTTTTATTGCAACTCTCATTCTTAAGAATTATATTTTGAAAACTTTATGCTAATATGTTAATTTATACCTACAATATAGTAAATAAAATGTGCCTACATCTAATTTATAGGTTTGTAATTTGTAAAGATGGCTTACCTTTCTTGATATATTAACATCTCCAAATTAAGAAAATATATATATGTCTTAATTTCACAACTTCTAATCTATATATAAACTCACTTATTTTAAATTCTTTATTTAGATATCGCGGACCCACCTAATAACATTTTTGTTTCTTATTTTTAGAATATAAACATTTTTCGATCATTATTTTCAATTTTTTATTTTAAGCCAGATTTTTTAAAATAATAATAAAAAAATCTTGCATAATATATATATATATAGATACAATTTAAAAAATGTTCATTAATTCTGGTATGAATGCGGATGAAATGATCCATAAAATAAGTAATTGTGGTCTGAATGCATTACGAAATGGTGCATAAAATAAGCAATTTATCCGTAAAGGAATAAAGAGCATTGGAATCCACGTGGCCATCCACACAAACACATTTATTAGGCCTCTTCAGTTAATTAATTACTAATATTACCCTCGCTAATGAGACTTCTTTTTAAAGCTCAAACATAATATCTTATTATTATGATCTAACATGCTTAGCATCGCCATAGCGGCTCCTTTTATCAAAGGTCAAAGAACAATTCTTCGTCTCTATGTTCGTTGTACTAAACAAATTGTTTAACCTCTTAATTAAAACATGTCTTCCTTGTATCTACAATAATTCTATATAGATTCTATTCTCCAACAAAAATTTAAAACCTTACAAAAATTTTGCATAAATGATACGGATGTAGTGCGTTGGATGGTCCAATCTTGATCGGATTGGGTCTAATTTGATCATGAGACAACTCTATTCGCTTTCTAAATTTACAAGCCTTATACAATGATTTTTCTTAGTTTTTTCTTCCCACAGAAAATACCCATGAATCACCCTATAAAACTTTCAATATCTTTAAAAGTATTTGAGTTTACCTCTCAAAAAAATTCAAATTAAAGAGGAAAAGGAAATTTGAAAAAAGCTTAAACCAAATTCAAAATGGATAAGGTAAAATAAAACAAAAGGGCCACGGTATTCCATCTTCGAATAGGAAAAATCGATTTCCTTTGCCTCACTAAATTAGTATACGGTAATTTTACCCATAACAATAATTATATTTTTGTTACTTTTTTCATTAGTTAATTAATTATTGTTATATCCAATTTCCTTTAGTTAATGAAAAATTAACCGTAGACTATTTAAAACCATTTTAGAACTTCTAAGGTTTAAATTGTAAGATCGTGAAATTTAAATATAAAAAGAAATTATTCTTTTCTTTTTTTTTTCTCTCTTCATTTTTTATTTTCTTTTCCCTTCTTCAACTGTATTAAGCTCCACCCTTGGTGACTTTCTATTTCAGTATTTGAGTTCCTCCAAGGGATTAATGCCTAACTTTAGACCATATTTTGGCATGCCCAAATTTTTGCCAAAATAAATGATTTTGACAACTCATTCAAATTACTAAATTTTTAAAAAATAATTACTCCTTAAAAAATTTTTAATTTTCTAAAGTCAATGTTAATTTTAATTAGGACAAAACTTTCCTCGTGAATTTTCTAAATATTTGTCTAGATCATGTAAGAATAATTTAGGAGGAGCTTCCTCTTGAATCTTGGAGAGAAATTTTTTCCTTTTAATTATGATAAAATTAACTGACGTGTAGATATTTTTGTTGATATGTAACATGAATTTGGCTTTCGTTGAGCTTCAAAAATTAGGTGATGTATTTTGGATATATCATGTCCATTTAGTTTCTAAAACATAAACATTTCAATTATGTTATCCAACTTTAAATTATGTTTTTTAATTATCGTTGTTATTTAGTGGAGCACCAGTGTGACATATGCATGTCTGTTAGTTTAAATATATGATATATATGTGCTCGAAATCTCTAGATTTCTAGAGTTTTAGTTCTTGAATTAATATTGATCATAAAAGGAAAATCAGCACGATTTTTTTATTAGAAAAATTTGAGCTACAAAAATTTATTGAAATTTATGACAAAACTGTATGCAGTTTCTCTGAAATTTTAGATTCTTACTCTAAAAAATTCATAAAATTTTTATATATTCTATAAAAAAAGGCAGAAATTGAGAAAACATATGGTCGTGAATTTCAGGTTGCCCATGATGATTCTGAAAAATCTTTAGTATTGAGAGACAACTTTAATTTGACAAACCCATAACACTTTAGGATAATAAATTACTCTCACATTATTGCAATTCCCAAGTGGAAAAAAGCTCACACACACGTCTTCGCACGTGCGGAGGAAAGAAAAAGAAAAAAGTATAGATTTTCAATCATTTTAGAGAGAGAGGGGAAGAGACATAGTGAGTTTTTATTTTTGTTTTTGGAAAATTTTTGACTTCTAATTTTGAGGATCCCACCTTAAAAATATAAATGACTTAACAAATAAAACCTGGTGAACCGAACGTACTACTTCCTACCGCTCTTATATATTTTTCTCTCTCATATAAAAGAGCATGAGATTAAATTATAGTCTACGAGATTAACAAATTTACAGTGGAAATGAATATTAGTTCAATTATGCATTTCTTACCTCCTTCGAGGTGATTCTGAATTTCCCATGACCCTTGTTAAATTAAAAATGAATAATAAATTTTTAGTTTGAAATAATTGAGAAAATTAACGTACTGATTAGGCAGAGTTTTAATTAAATTGGCTTTGATTACAAATTTTCAAATCAACATAAACATAAAAGGTATCACTTTAATTTTTGTAAAAAGAGAAAAATATCATGGGACAAAATGTAGTGAGTGTTGATTGAGCTTATTCTCCCATCGTGGATAAAACTTTAATTTAAAAAAAAAAAAGAAAAAAGAAAAAAGTTTGTGTCGCAAATCCCCAATTATATGTTTGTCTTACATGTCATCAACTAAATAATAATAATAATAAAGCAAATATTACGTTTTTTTGGTATATATGATTAAATTTTATAAATCGTTTCTAAATAAAATTTGTTGATGGAGGGCTCAAACATTTTGCGAAATTCTCACTAATCCTTCATTATCGATTTTAAATATCTTTTTCTCGTTTATATCTTCCACTAATTAAATCTTAATCTATCAATTATGTTCTTAGTCTCAATAGCGTAAACTTTGGTTCATCCAATTCCCTTTCACAAATCAAAGTGCTAGCAAGAAAAAAAAAGAAAGAAAAAAGACGAATTCTCTTATGACAAATGCATTACTTTTTGCAAAGTAGTTATGTCCAAAACTAATCGATTGATAAATGAACAACCATTCTTTTAAATTATGTCAACATGACCATAGTTCAACGATAATATACTGATTCAAAATTTCCTTCCAGCAAAAATTATGTCATCAACAAACCGAACGTAGCCTATTTTAGAGCTTTTATCTCTAAATAATTCAAATAAGATGTTTAGTTAGAAAGTACTTTGTCGTCATTGAAAAATTGACAACTCATAATTCTTAAAAAGAATTCTTCATTTTTGCATTTCTATCTTTTAGCTGTCAAATATTTAATTGTAGTAAAAATAAGATAGGTTGGTAGGAACTAAATTTTTTTTAGGTAATCAAAAAGTTCATTCTTGAGCAATATATTTTAACAGATAAGTTAGGTTACTATTGATAGAGATGGTCGTTTTTATTTTTTATTTTCTTCTTTTCTTAGTACCTCAGGTCGTTTTTAAAATGTGCTTTAAATGGTAATTGTTGATGATATGTTCGTTTCATCATGTAAAATCAACATCAAAGTTAAAGAACTTACGTGAAGAATTAAAAATCTTAAACTAGTTAAGTTTGTTGTAACGTAATACAAATAGTTTGTTTTGTTTTGGTTTTTTCTTTTTTCTTTTTCTTTTTTTCTTTTTGGTCTATCTATTGGTTCACTTCACTTCCGTTACTCATTCGTTATAAATCCAATTTCTTTTGTGTCTTACTTTAGTGCCCTTTCTTTCAACCTTTTCTTTCTTTTAATCTAAAATGTATTTCTCAACAAAATGAATAAAAGAATAACTATTTCTCAAAATAATAATTATAACAGCAAAAGAAAAACTTCCCAAATGGAAATATACATTTTTTTAATAATCGAACTCTATCACATTTGGTTGTAAAGAAAACTCATATGGTATTAAATCTTATATAGGTGGTCACCATGGTAGGTTTAAACCTATTCCCTTTAAATTCTTTAAAATTTACGATAATGGTTAAAGATTTCTTATCTTTACTCTATTTTTTGTAAGGACTCAAGTTTATGAAAATGCCAATAAATTATTGATAAAATATCCATAAATATTTTTAGAAAAAAATTTAAATTAGAAAATTTAGAACAAATATTTTAAAAAACAAATACGCATTTCACTATTTTTAAACAAGTTAAAATTTATTAATATTAATATTATGTTTATATTAGTGATATTTTGTTGTTCGTTTTTATATCTTGTCAATTTTTTGACAATACTAATAGAAATATAGATTCATCCCTCATATCAATATCGAATT